GGGGGGGGGGGGGCTGACAGGGTTTCCTGACTAGTTTTGGGTTGGCCAGGCCCCATTATTATCACATGAATCACAAGAGCCCCACCCCAGGTATGAAGAGTAACCCATTAAATTGATGATCATCTACCATCCATCTACCATTCATCTACCATTACCATCTACCAGTAACCTTTTATTTGCTATTTTCACCAGGATGGAAGATCCTGTCAGGGCCCGGCTTTGGAAGTGTGTGGTGGATCACAGCTGCGGTTCCAACTGGGTGTGTAATGCGGTTGTCAGGCTAAAATCCCCGGCGGCTCTCTCAATCATAAACGGAGGGTAGGGGATTTAGTCATCATGGACCGCTAATAGTAATCGGCAATAACAGTCGATGAAATAAAGAATATTAACTCATATCCCTGATATTGGCAATCCTATCTGGAATTGTGGTATAACTGGATGGTAAAGTCTCTATGACAGATAACAGCAGATCTCCCCTTCACACAGCATTAATGGTAATAGTATTGCAATTGATTTGGAGAGAATCCCAATGAAGTTTAGGGATTAGGCTTGGCTCGCTTTCCAGGGGAAACTATATGTGAAGGGCAACTTGAAGTTTTCTTTCTATGAGTGGTCGGGGCTGCCCGAGAGTGGAGTGCGGAGGAGCGTTGGAGTCCACGGATCACTTTCTACTTCAGTGCCCTTTTAACCGCTTCGTGACGGGAGACGTAGACTGTACGTGACCAGTTATTGCGGCGCTGTAATGCCGGAAAACGTTGATTCTCAGTATTGAGACATTCATGAATGAGAATGAAGCCGTTACATACAAATACCGGAGCGCTAAATAATGATCCGGTATATGACAGCTGAAGAGAGCAGAGTGAGTGTCCTCCATAGGCTGGCCCCATGTGATACATTTCAGGCACAGGAATGTTACAATGTATCACTTCTGATCTTCTGGGCACGTTCAGAAACCTTCACTGAATCTGAGACGCTGTCAGGATCGGTCTCTAAGGTTATTATTAGCTGTTCCTAAGTTTGGAGCGGCCTAATAATAACCAAAAAGTAAAAAAAAGTACATTTATCATGCCGTCATAGTGACTGCTTAAGGTCTCGTTCACACGCGTTTCCGAAGGTTACTTGGCGGTATCCCATTGGAAACGCGCAACAAAACGGCCCAAAGTAGTACCTGGACTAGGCTGGGTGACACCCGGAGCGGTGTCCGAGTGTCACCCGCCGAGACGTCACCGCGCATGCTGATCCCGGGCTCTGCGGCTTTTCTCTCTGTCCTTTCTTCACTCCCCGAGATTCTCAGATCAAAGGCTCCAGGCAGGGGGCGTCCCGAGGCTGGGTGACACCCGGAGCGGTAACCGAGTGTCACCGAGACGTCACTGCGCATGAGCTGGACGTCACCACGCGCATGCACGGTGACGTCATCTCGCACGCGCGGCAGTATTCTAATAGAGAGGAGGGGACAGTCACCCGGCGGGATAAGGTAAGCCGCCTGGTCATTGAGCAAAAAGATGTAACCAGCTAGAAAGTAGCTGATTGAAAGAGGTTAACTGAGGATCCGGACAAGCAATATCATTGCAAAAAAGTACAAATATATGAGATAGATATCAGTGAAGACATTAAGACTTTTGTTCAACAACTACCGTTAAAAACATTAAAGCATGACAATCAATTTCTTATCAACCTATGAATAGACAGTTGAGTATCAATATATAGTGCTCTCGTTTGTGTCACACTTGTATCACGACCTTTGAGAGGGGAAAGAGACCGGTGTACTCAATGTGCTGACAACGGTCTAATTCTCATCAGTCGTATCTCTATATGGGAAACCTGCGGGGTAAAGGGCTTTGGTGGCTGCAGAGATCAAATAATGAAGTGAAAACAAAATCCTTGTAGGATACCTCAAATCAAAATATTCCATTCAATTGTGTGTCTCCTTTACTTGTAATCTCAACTTGACGAGTATTCACAAGGAATCGGTCATTATATGAATTTTTATGTTTTAAGTCAAAGAGACCACCAGCCTTTGGCCGTGTGTACGGTTAACCCTTGTTTCGCTGACTCGGCGGAATCCAATTTTGCGTACGGAGACACGTGCGATTCGTTTCGTTACGAATGGAAATTCGTACGAATTTTCTTTTAAATTCGTAGATTCGGAAGCATCCGAAATCCGAATGGCAGTTTCCGAATTATATCCGAAATACGAAATTCCATTAACTAATTTCGGATCCGAATTTCTTTGAAACGGGAACTAATATTACCCCTGTAAATGAGGTTGAACGGACTGGTCTGTACACTGAGCTTTTCATGCACTAGACTCACATGAGTCCTTTCAAGCCCACTAAGTGGCTCCTCTACCACATCTCGGGATCTCTAAGCTGAAGTTTGTGTGCCTTTTTTTCCCCACACACCCCCGGTTAATTGTGTGCTACGCACACTTTTTGAACTATGTTATTGCAATGTTTATTGCTAAGTTCTTGTTCTTATTGGTATGTTATTGTTTTCCTTGCAACACACCTATGTATTACCTCTGATTGCCATTATATACCTGACATTTTATACCTCACCTTTAATGAAACATCTGGTTTCTTTCACAATGTCTTTCCTACTATCTTTACCTACCAAGACACCAGTATGATGATGTTTCAGTGCCGCTGCAATCTCTTTCAGTGTCCCTCCCAGGCTCATTTTCAACACCTTTTTATCAATAATTATGGCGGTTAATATTAGCTCTCTGAATGTGAAAGGACTTAATAGTCCGTTTAAACGAGACATGCTATTGAAGGAAGCTGCATCTCTGAATTGTGACATATTGTGTGTCCAAGAAACACACCTCAAAGAGGAGAACCCCCCGAGTTGCAAAACCAAAAATTTTACTCACTACCTCTTTGCAAACTCAGATACTAAACACAAGGGTGTGATGATAGCCATTAAACGCACTGTCACTTTTCTACAACATGATTTATTGATTGACCCAAACGGTAGATTTATCATACTTGGGGCCTCCTTGAATAATCGATTAGTGACACTGGTTAATATTTATGCCCCACATGACCGCCAAAATATATATATTTTTTTTGTGTGTGACCCTAATGAATAAAATTAATAAGATCCGTAAGGGACACTTGATCCTATGTGGAGATTATAACGCAATTGTGGACGATGATCTGGACACTTCAAATGTGAAACGACGACCCAATAGACTCTTAAACACTTTCTTCCGTAATAATGACCTGCATGACGCATGGAGATGTATGCACGGCACTGAAAAAGACTACACATACTTTTCTCACACTCAAAGTGACAAATACACGCTGCAACATGCATCTAATGCAGAAATAGGCCTCATTACCACATGATATCCAACCAGGTCCTACTGCCTGTCGTTTATAGCTACCCTCACCGATTTCGTCCCCCTAGCGAAGCCTTTTCCTAAAATGTAGACTGAAAAAATTTCTTTGACCTACACTTGCTGGTTACACTTGAGACTACAAGTCTCTGTCTAACAGTGTACCATATACTGAGTAGTTTTACTTTGAAGTCTAATTTACATTCAGGTAATATGGCAAATTACATAGACCCTTTCCATAGTCTTGTCCTTCCCTCCCACTACATGTTTAGCTCCCTATCCTTATCCCCTACCAGATCTACTACCACATCGACTCCAATATTAACAAAGGTATTTTTGCTTTTTAACTTCATCATAACGAATGTTCGTAAAGTTACGAAAATGTGCCGAAACTAACGAAAATACATATTTCGTACGAATCCAAATTGAGTTTCGGATACGAATTACGAAATACGAAATAATGGATATTACGAAACGAAACGGAACAAATTTTTTGACGCCGCACAAGTCTAGTAGCTCGCAGATGAAGGCTTTTTAAAGTAAAGTTAATTCTTTAAGTACTTGCAAGGTTACAGTTGTTGCACAGTTTCCTTGTTTTCTATTTGTCGTTAAAGCCGCCGGCATATATTTAGCCGTTTAATTCTAAGGAACTGGCCTGTGGGGATACCTTGCTTCAGGGGAGGAGGATGGTGACTAGTTGCATGTAACAGGGTGTTCGCTGCTGTTTCATTTCTGTATGTTTTTGTATTTAATTT